ATGGTGAACCTGATGTTTCCTCTCCAAGGGTCAGAGTCTAGCATCATGTGAAAGTCATGCATCACGTGCGAGTTAGTGTTAGTGTTCTCATAGGCCAAAAACAAAACTACTTGTGTTTCACTTTCAGGTAACACGACCAACCCATTGTTTCACTTGCATCCCCAAATGTATTTATCCCAGCTGGTAACAGCCATCAAGAAACATATATTTTACACTGACACAAAAATTACATGTTTTTGCATGTTATCATTGCTGTATCTGTTTTGACCTACAACAGTGAGAAACACTGTGATTAACATAACTTCAAAACAAGCCATCTGTGTCAAACATTATTAAATGAAATACTAATTAAAACAAACCTCTATCTAATGACCGATACTTGTCATTGTAAATGTTTTTTCTTGGTCTTATCTATTTGCAGCAACACCCAACCTGTGCCAGAAAGTGCTGGCCCCGAATGAATGTTCTGTGGGCACCCAAAGCCATCAAATAAAATCATTCTCATCATGTTCATCAGTAGTCTATTTTCAAAATGATCAGGTCACCAGGGTCCACTTGCACAAAATGACCTTAGCACTACGAATATACTAGAAGGGTAACGCTATTTTTCAGGGCATTATCATTTGCAGAAGCCCGAGGTCTTCCATTAAATGCCCGACGAAGGAGGACAGTTAAAAAGACCGAGGGCTTCTGCAAATGATAATGCCCTGAAAAAGAGCGTTACCGTTATTATAGCTAAAATGGATGGAATTTGTTATCAAATAAAAAGAAACAACATCGGTTTTGAAACACTTACTGCAATCTACACGAATGTCACTGACCACATTTTACAAATATGGAAACGTCATAGAACAAACCAGATGACGTCACTATAATACGTGACGTCATTTTCTCTACCCTATGACGTCACCTAACAACGGGCTTGATAATGGCCCGTCATCAAGCAATATGAGGGCATTATCATGATAATTCTATCCATTTTAGCTATAAAAATAAATATAACATACAAATACCACAAAGTCACAGCGCTAAGTGAGTGAGTATAGTTTTACGCCGCTTTTAGCAATATTCCAGCAATATCATGGCAGAGGACACCAGAGGACACCAGAAATGTGCTTCACACATTGTACCCATGTCGGGAATCGAACACGGGTCTTTGGCGTGACGAGTGAACGCTTTAACCACTAGGCTACCCGACGACAGCGCTAAGATCACTCTGGGCAAACTTAACAGAAATCTCTTTTGACATTGAGAGCTAATATCCAAAACGTGTACATCAAGTAACTGTCCAAATATCAATTTATGTACCATAATAACCTACGACCATTTAGTATAATAATTACATCATATTTTGTGCTGCCTTTCACCAACCACTGTCATAAATGTGTTATTATTTACACAGACAAGTGGGTGAGTGAGTTGGGTGTAACGCCACTTTTAACAGTATTCCAGTCATATCATGGCGTGTCAGCTTAATGTGGGAGGAAAGCCCAAAGTGATGCAGGTCTCAGACGTTTACTACTTCGGTGAAACCCACGAGCACAGGTATCGTGCTGACAAACCTTGAAACATAATCTGGACAAAACCATAGGTTTCTGGTGTGCCCAAGGCACGCAGTGCCTTAGACGACTGGGCCACCTGTGTGGCCCCCTACACAGACACGAACCACATAGACATGTATATCATCTTGATATTAGCCACTTGTCCAAAGCCAGTGTCTAGTAAAATTCTATTTGGTCTAGTAAGCTCAGCCAATTATAGTCCATATATTAATACTAAAATCTACAAGATGAAGGTGAGGTGAAAATTGGGTTTAATGTCCCGTCCAAGATTATTGCACTTATATAGCGAGCATCCAAACAGAGTAACAACAAGTACCAACTTTTAACATTTTTTGTTGGCGCGGCCGGGGATCACATCCCGGAACTTCCGCTCTCCAGGCGGACGCTCTACCACTAGACCATGGAGGCGGTCTCTACAAGATGATGCCACAAGACAGGTTTGACCTACCAGACTCAAACGATTTTGGCCCAGATCACTGCAGAAACATGACACTAACGATATTAAGTTCTCATATACAATTGTATACATGGTATATATGGTATGAGTATGCTGATAGTCTACGCTGTCAAAACATGGTATTCTTTACTGATAGAATGCATAAGCTAGGAATCAGCTGTTGCTTAAAATCAAAGGTATACTGTCTTTCTACCACATATGGGGAACACCAGTCCTTAATTTACCAGTCTAATCCTAACCATATTTCACTTGTTTCGTTTATTTGTTGTTTAACAACGCACTCAGCAATATTCCAGCTACATGACGGCGGTCTGTAAATGATCGAGTCTGGACCAGACAATCCAGTGATTGACATCATGAGCATCGATCCATGCAATTGGGATACAATGACATGCATCAACCAAGTCAACGAGCCTGACCCCCCGTAAATCGCCTCTAACCACAAGCATAGTCACCGTAAGCATGGGTTGCTGAAGACCTATTCTACCATGGATCTTCACAAGTCATATTTCACTTTTAAAAATCCAGTACTGTTTTATCATAAGAAGCGTCCTGGGCTCTTCGAAAATGGACACATGAAAATAATGACTGTAATGTAAGTCTTTCTTTGTAGGTGAATCTAATAAATATTACTTACAGATTGGTCTAGAAGCTAGTCGGGTTGGAGCTGGGGGTGATGGTTTATTGGAGCAGACAGCTTAATACAGATAATATGGTATATACCAAAAGCAGAGAATGGACTCTGATCTAGAGATACAACATGGATTTGAACCATCAGTTTCATTATTGCTAGTGCTACTGACAACTTAATTATTGTTTGAATACAATGTCTCAAACACAGAGCTCCAGATAAGCTGCGTATCTGCGTGAAATACGCATCAGAAATGCAGAAATACGCAGTAAAATATAATCCAAGCGTATCAAATACGCAACAAACATTACAGATACGCTACAAAAATAAAATTTGTGCGTATAATCAAAATATTGTGAAGTAACCCTGCGTATTCGATTAGCAAATCAGCAACTTATTTTGAAATTATAAACGGGCATTCCGTCAACCTTGCCAAACTCCACGATGACAGTTACATCATGATCATTTGCCATCACACTTTCGTGTGGAAGTATCGTGGTATTTTTGAGTCCTATAAAGCTCTCGAACCTACACGACACCAGTTTGCAGGGACTAGATGAATAGTGTTTTTATATATTTAACTTAAATACCCACATGTGTAAAAACTAGTGGGTAACAGAAATTTGAATACGCAGATAGAATTACTGATACCCAATGATTTTAAAATGCATGGGTAAAATACCCACAACACCAAAAGCTTATCTGGAGCTCTGCAAACAGGATACAATCAAAATAACCTCCTGCCAAGGATCACTAGTTCTCAGATCTTAAAATCATCACAGGTTGTTAAAAAATAGACCCCAGAAAACATTGATCATACATAACAGACATTTTCACTCCGTCCTACAAATATGATGTCTATTTCTGATATTTTATAATTTGTATAAGTTTAGATATGTCTTCAATATAGTCATTGTAATAAATATCAAAAACATTATTAAGAAAGACAATTTAACAAACAATACTGATTACTGGGCCGTGTAAGTCACAATACATGATAACTTTATATATCATCATTTGATCATAATACACGGAAATATACACTATAATCTAAATTGTAGAGCAGAGAAGTACTAGTTCTTGTAAATGATGCACAGTGCTTATTAACCAACATTCGCTCATAAATAGAAGACAATTTTCAAAGAAAATTATTAACTGTCATTTCCATTGAAGATGATTATGATCACAAAACTATCTTCATGAAGAAGCCACAAGTTTCAAGCAAAATAATTATCCCCCAAACAAACCGTCACAATTCATGAGTGCGGAGCAAAATAATCCAATCGAATCAACTCTTTCAATACAGCCAGCAATTCTCTATGTACCCAAATTGTGTACAATTTAATTAATACACCAAGCAGCTGATCAAATATGCCTATCTACTTTAAGCGTCAAAAACAAAGACTGAAAATAAGAACATTATATACCCATTGCTTGTCTGATTTCTATGGTTTAATTATTACAATAATTCATTAACATACAAAATCAAAATAAATGTCCTGTAATACCACAGTTCATGGCGAGCAAAATAAATCAAATTATGCTGAGTAAATAAAAGGTTCCAACACTGTTATCATTCTGACACTTGAAATGTATCACGTTACAACATTATGCAAATGAGGTATATTTACACACATATCAGCTGTTTCAAGGTTATATATTCTGTTTGTTACATAATAATATTCAGTTCTCAAACTTCTCTGAAATTATTCCATCCATGATAAATCATAACCAACAATACATAGTAAAGTAGAAATTATTAATGTGTAAACAAACAGATAAATCCTTCTTTCCATAAAATGCATTGATTAAAATGCACATTATGTTTCAGAGAGAATCTCATAACTTTCCTATCAGGACAGTGATTTTGTCCACTTGAAAACAGATGTCACCCTATGTTTTAGTAAATTAAGGGTGTAATAATATCTTATATCACTCGTATATATATGTTCACTTCCTCAAAGATTTATGCATATTTGATGATGTCATGGATGTGTTTATTTGCAACACCGTAATAAATTAAAGCTCTCGGGAGATAAATATTTTGACACCGTTCACTTATTTACTGAAATACACACAACAAACCCTCCCCTTTAAATCCGATTTCGTTTCATAAGAAATCCATGACATGACAAGCCTACTTGTCAGATCGCAGAAATGAAATGGCAGTCTGCTCGACAATTATCCTCGAAAAATGTCAAAACAACGTAGATTTTGAGGGGATCGGGGCAAGCGAGTGTGTGAATGTACCCATATTTTGACACAACGTGTAACTGACATGTAAATAAATGACACTGAAACATGAATTGGTCGAAAATACATTGACAACAAACAATTATTCAAAGGATACATTCGGAGTGACCCAGATTTTGTTCCGATTGCTAAAATATGTTGAACAGGATCAAACGCAACGGCAGTTGGTTGGAATGGGAAACCGTGTCTAACAGTCTGCAAAATAAAACAGCATCGTGACATACCATATTTGAGATTATTCTCAAATGCACGTCCGCGAAATTGAAAATACTCAATCGATTTCAACAGTATGAGACCCACCTTGCAGACTTGAAAATGCTCGGACCGTAGCGATTCCTCAATCTCCATCTCGGCCTTCGGGGGTGTGCTCACGGACGATCTAAGCCCGTCAAGCACACCCTTCAAGGTAAATCGTTTTCCTTTAACTGTCGACATATTTGTAATAATCGTCAAATATCCTCATGTTTACGAATTTCCACCCTCCAAATCGCCATTTCTAGGCTACTGCTAGCCTCAATATATCCTGACACGGCTGTGGAAGCCCGGATGTAGACCCAGCAATCCTCTACACGGAAAGGGCTGCGGTGCTGATGTGGACTCGCACATAGATTATTCCAAGACAAAAACAGCAGGCGACGGAAAAATCACTTTTCACATTTTAAGGACAAGTATGTTGAAAACAGATTCAGCCAAACCTGTCCCTAATATATATCAGGCAGGGCGATGACAGCGAGGCGAGAGAGTGAAAATTAACATGAGCTTTCACTGTGTTTCTGCCAAGATTCGGAGCTTGCAATATTCTCGTTCCAACGCCTGGAAACCGATCAATCAGTAGTATCTGGCGTAATCGCTATTTTTTTTCTTTGTGCGTATATTGAATCCAACGTTCTTATTTAATGCTAATATCTTCCAAATTAGGAGAATATTTTACATTAACGAGTTTCTTTTCGTCAGTTTGCTACAATTTATTCTGGTAATTTCCGTATGAATCAGTAATTAGTTCATAACGGGATTAAATGGGATAGCGTTAAACGTACCATAAGATACAGTGTTATGTATATTGTTGCAAAATGAATTCTAAGTAGATCTACAAGCTATATATTGAATGAATGTTTAGCTTTTTGTAATTGAAATCCTCACGAGAAAATTAAGTCGATGTTCACTTATTGTATTTGTTTGGGTTTTTTTTGTTTTTTTGTTGTTGTTTGTTTTGTTTTTTTGGGGGGTGTATATGTTTATATTATGATATACTGTAACAAGACTATTTAACCCATCATCAGATCCATTAAGTATTATGTAGTATTGTAGATATACTTTTTGTTAGGCAGTATCCATAACCGCTCTGAACCAACCAGGTAAGGGCGCAATTCTTCCATTTAGAGTGGGCCTCTATTAGGTTTTGTTTGTTTGTTGTTTAACACCGCACTTAGCTATTTATTCCAGCTATTTGACGGCGGTAGGTAAATGATCGCGTCTGGGCCAGACAACCCAGTGATTAGCATCACAAGCCACGCAACTGGGATACAATGAGAAGCAATGAACCAGGTCACCGAATATGAGCACCCGATCCATTAAGTCGCCTCTAATGACAAGCATAGGTTTCTGGGGACCTTTATTTTTACCCTAAACCTCACGGGCCCGTCTTGTAAAAGGATTCTAAGAGACGGGTCTGTGTGTGAGGTTTTGAAAAAAGGGCCGGGTCAGCTATATTTACTGATTTAATCCCGTTCGATGTTCACACCATAGAGTGTTCTATACTCAACGAGACCCGTGAAGATCCGGGCTAGAATAGGTCTTCAGCAACCCATGCTTGCCGTAAAAGGTGACTATGCTTGTCGTAAAAGGCGACTAACGGGATCGGGTGGTCAGGCTCGCTGACTTGGTTGATGCATGTCATCGATCCCAATTGCGTGGATCGATGCTCATGATATTAATCACTGGATTGTCTCGTCCAGACTCGATTATTTACAGACCGCCGTCATATACCTGGAATATTGTTGAGTGCGGCGTTAAACAACAAACCAACCAACAAACTATACTCAACGATTACTTGTTGGATCCATACAAATTAAGGTCCGGTCTGTAAGCCGACCTCTGGGTCTACAGTGGTTCGAAATTAAGTTGGTTGGTTTGTTGTTTAACGCCGCACTCAGCAATATTCCAGCTATATGACGGCGGTCTGTAAATAATCGAGTCTGGACCAGACAATCCAGTCATTAGTATCATAAGCATCGATCCACGCCATTGGGGTCGATGACATGCATCAACCAAGTCAGAGAGCCTAACCACCCGGTCCCGTTAGTCGCCTGTTACGACAAGCATTGTCACCTTTTACGGTAAGCATTGATTGCTGAAGACCTATTCTACCCCGGAATCTTTACTATACTGTACCTTTACGAAACACTTCGTCATCTTTGCAGATTATTCAAAATAGATTACAATTCTGTTTTCTAAAACAAAACAAACGAGACTGAGAGAGTTGCGTTTTGTCACCTCACCAGAGAGCATGTCGCTCTCTATAGTCTTTCTCTCGGACCCTATAGAAAATACATTAAAAAGAAATCCAACTCAAGTCTAAAAAGATTGGGCATGAAATTAAGCATTGTTCTGGCCTCCATTTGTTATGTTTTTTTAATTTTTTAGATATATTTATTAATAAGATAGAACAGCCTCCGTGATCTAGTGGAAGAGCGTCCGCCCGGAGAGCGGAAGGTCCGGGGTTCGATCCCCGACCGCGTCATACCAAAAGACGTTAATAGATGGTACTTGTTGTTAACCTGTCTGTCGCTCGGCATTAAGGGGCTAAAACAAGGACTGGTCTGCTCGGAGTCAGTATACTGTGTCTGAGTGGGGTATTCATGTTAAACTGCGGCATGGTATCTCAGTGAGCTAGCACTATACATCGGCATCACTCAGGACTAGTACAAGCAGCCACACACATACATACACGTGCATGCACGTCGCTATATAAGTGCAATAATCTTGGACGCGACGTTAAACCCCATTTCACCTCACCTATTAATAAGATAACTTTATTTCTGGGACTGAGTGTCAGTCAAGTGGCTCTCGCAGAACATGGCTTTACTGCATGGTGTCTATAGCTATCTTGAATCTATTATGCAGGATCATATATTTTTTTCGTTTACAACAGCCGGTGATGTCATCTATCTTTTATGCAGGATCATATTTTTTTCATTTGCAATAGCCGGTGATCTTAAAACTAGTAAGAGATCGGTCGTATTTTCTCTACCGCGTATCTTCACTGATCTTTCCTTAGTTAAACTTGTCACCTATAACAAATGAAATACGGTAGCCCAAACAATTGCATGAATTGTATACCCTTTTCTGGTAGTAAATGCAGAAGGTAAAAATAATCATCACAGCTTGTTACTGTTGACACAAGGTGAAAATCACGGAAACGCAGATTGAGTGCGACCTGAAGCCGGTCAAAGGGAGATAACCGAAGGAGGAGAAGTGTAGAAATTAACTCTTGCGTTGCTTTGCTCCCACCATTGCGGGATAATTAAAAAACAAGCACTCATGCATTTATAACCAACGTGATTTTTTTATGTCTGTTGTCTCATTACATTATTGTGAATTGTTTATGTTGTGCAAATCCACCGGGGCAGATGGAATAACGTCAACATAGTGAAAGACAATACTGCGTGCCTTAATGCTACTGTGTTAATTTCCTTTGAAAGCATGCGACGGATGCAGCGCAAGAAAAGAATATTTATTATGCTGAAACAATAAGGATTAGTCACTCACTCACTCACTCCATGGCAGGAATTCCCAAAGAGGTGAGGTGAGGTGAAATTGGGTTTGACGTCGCGTCCAAGATTATAGCGACGTGCATGCACGTGTATGTGTGTGCCGATTTATAGTGCTAGCTCACTGAGATACCATGCCGCAGTTTAACATGAATTCCCCACTCAGACACAGTATACTGACTCCGAGCCGACCAGTCCTTGTTTTAGCCCCTTAATGCCGAGCGCCAGACAGGGTAACAACAGGTACCATCTTTTAACGTCTTTTGGTATGACGCGGCCGGGGATGGAAACCCGGACCTTCCGCTCTCCGGGCGGACGCGCTACCACTAGACCACGGAGGCGGCAGAATTCCCAAAGAACAAAGTCTCCGAGGACGCATGATACATTACATGTCATCGTATCTTAATTGCGTGGATCGATGCTCATGATGTCAGTCACTGGATTGTCTGGTCCAGACTCGATTATTTGCAGACCGCCGTCATATAGCTAGAATAATGATGAGTCCGATGTTAAACAACAAACAAACAAACAAACAAAGCAAAGAACAATGAAGAACGAAGCGTTGTTTATTTCACGTTAAAACATTGTTCTATCATTACGTCATTTCTGGACATTCGAACATGCACTCGCAAGTTGATGACGTAGTACATTGGACGACGTTATTTTTGAGAGGAAAGTGTCTGGTAACTTGTTCACAATAGATGTATCTTGGCGACGCAGACAAACGCAGTGGCCAAATGATCGCATCCAAAGGTGGGAGAGATATGACAATCGGTATTAGGAGAAAAGGTACAAATGATCGACGTGATGATTGTGAGAATATACCAAAACCTTACTAACCTGTTCGTAAGCTTGGGAGATCCCTTTTTAGATGATATTTTACATCTCTGCAAAAACATTTTAGTTATTAATATTAACTGTATAAAAAAAATCCAGTGTTAAAACTCTATCTATCCACGTCAAAGCGTCAAAGCCAAAAACATCATACCACTAAACGGATCATTATAAGTAGGCGATGTCATTGTCGCTGTCGTCGTCGTTGTCATCATTATCATCATCATCATCATCATCATCCACGTCGTGCTGCTATTGTATATCAATGTATTGGTATTTCATTGTCATTTCCTGGTATCGTCATTCATCATCATCATCATCATCATCATCATCATCATCATCATCACCTTCGTGCATTGGTACTGTTGGTGCAATTAAAGCAATAAGAACTTACTCATCCATCGATTAATCTCATCATCATCATGAATTGGTGCGTCTTCTGTAATTGCATTGTTGTCATCGTAAACGTTAACAATATCATCGCCAACGCACTAACATGTGATTACTTGTGTAATATTTGAATTACAAATTCATCAAATGTCAAAATAATGTTGAGCTTACATCAAACAAACCCTTCATCTTCATCATTGAGTAATATACAGGCAGATAACAGCCGACGGAAACCTACATGCCCCCCCCCCCCCCCCAAACCCTCCCCGGTACCCACTGCTCCATTCCCCCTGGACATGATTGATCCATCACTCGGATCTGAGGACGGAGGAATACGTCAGTGTTCCTCGGGGGGCCAATCTTGTCTCAGCAGGAAGGTTGGCCTGACAATAACATGCTCGCCTAATGAACTTTCACAGATAGTCGGCTCCTTATCATCTGTCTATTATATTGTCATATAGTAATTCTGTTTATATGCGTACTGTCTGCGACTTCGCTTACTTGGGACATGCACGGGCCACAAGGACATACTATAATAATCATAATTCATGTTGTCTCCTACTCGCGCCAGACACGTACCAGGGTTGTGTGTTTTGAAGGACACTTACTTACTTACTTTGGAGATTAAACGTGCGCTTTCCGACTGATGCGTATTTCGCACACGGGCCCGGCCAGGCCATTTAATGTGTTTCCGAAAGGGGCGAAAGTGGTCTGTGCAACCCAAGAGGGGGGTTTAGGGGTTGCTTATATAGAATTTGGGAATTTTGAGATTTGGAATAGATGCCGA